AATCAGGGTGATCTAGAGGGGTGGGATAAAATTACAGCTCCCTGTGGCTCTCCTTTTCCTGGACCTCTCTGCTTCTCTCCGAAGCACTCACCTCCAGCTGACTTTATGTTCTCTCTCCCTTCCTTGGCACTGTACTCCCCCACCCTGGGAGGCGAGGAGCCCACAGTGCCCAGTGCCGGAGCGGAGGGAGACACCTCGCTCTCTCCCAGCATTCAGCATAGACACAGCGTGCAGCAGGCCCAGCTGAATGGGCAAATACCCACCCAGAACGGGGCTTCCGGGGAGACACGCTCGGCTCTCATCTTTCGGACCCACTCTGAATCCCACCATTCCGCATCCTCCCATGACGAACTGGTGCTCACTCCGGGCTGCACAGCTTCCGGTTTCTAGCATTCCTTTTTCTTTTCCTCAGTACCGGACAGTGAACTCGGGACCTTCACACTAAACTACTTTCCATCCTCCTGCCTCAGCCTCCCAAGTGCTGGGTGGGATTACAGGTCTGGGCCACCACACCCAGCATATTCTGCCATTTTAACACCGGGAGAATCAAAGGAGTGCTGCGTGCTTGGTGGAGAGGAACCTGAGGAGGTCCTGGGAGGTAGGTGTGCTCAGAAGGAGGCCCAGAAACCAGTCACTCCAGTGCCCAAGTCAGGCACGGGGTCACCAGGGCCCTCTCATCCCTCAGAAATTGTCACTCACCTCATCACGCCTGCTTTATGTCCTTTGATTTTTTTTTTTTTTTTTTGAGACTGGGCCATGCCATGTGGCCCAAGCTGGCCTCAGCTCACAACCCTCCTGCCTCAGCTTCCTGATTATTGAGTTTGCTTTCCTTCCTGAATCCCTCATAAATCAAAACCATTTTGTGCAAGCCAGATATGGTGGGGCAGAGCTGTAATCCCAGCACTTTAAGAGGCTGAGGCAGGAGGATCAAAGTAGGTTTGAGGCCAGCCTGGACTACGTAGTGGTTTTAAGGTCCTACATAGCAAGACTTGGTCTCAAAAAAACAGTGAAAAAGAAATGAAATCAGAGCAAACAAACCACTTTTTGTGTCCTGAAGTCCTCTGCTCCAGCTCTAGCCTTATTCTCTGTGTACATCACTGCTCCAAAATCCTCATCTTCCCGCTGCAGATATGGTTCTTCCTAAACCCAGGAGGCTTTATTCCTTCCCGCTCCAGACTCTTCCATAGCTCCCTTCTTCCCATAGGAGAAGGCACCGCGGCTCCAGCCTGACACCAGGTCCAGCTATGCCGAGGGCCCACGTTCTACATCACAGCTCTGAATGACAAATTCTCCACCAGGGAGCCAGAAGCAGGGTTTGAAGAAAGAAACAAATGTTTCCAACAACGAGGAAAAGACTTCTTGTGGGGCGTGAGGTGTGGGAATTAAACCTAGGCCTTCACATTGAGATACACCTTCAATCCTCTTTTTTTATCTTATTATTATTTTGAGACAGAGTCTCACGAGGTTGCCGAGGCTGGGCTTGAATTTGAATCCTCCTGCCCTAGCCTTCCAGATGGCAGTAACTCATTCTTATGCTTGCTTTTCTTCCCTGGCCATTTCAAGTGGCCGATTCTGCAAAAATAGCTTCCCTTTCTTCTTGTTCTACCTGTGTTTCTCCTTGCTCTCTCTCTCTCTGCAACCGAACTCTCTTACTCTCTCCTCATCTCCTCAACTACACCTGCTCCATCTTTCTTAGATCGCAATAGGCAGGAACCACCCAGATTCAGAGCTCAAAGGTCCAACCTGGCCTGTGAGCTGCCGCTTCAGGACCACGGACAGCGGCCCGGCGTGGCCCTCACCTTGTTGGTCTGCAGGCCCTCATCTGGACACGAAGACCTTTCCACCCTCAGCGTTTTCCTTTCTGCACTCGAGACATCGCCCTCACCCTCGGCATGGCCTGCAGAGCTGCACGCCCCACACCGCCACTGTCCGCCACTGTCCGCGCCCTGCGCCCGGGAAAACAGTGGAGGGGCCCCGCCTTTCCGAGTTCGCCTTCTGGGTCAAGGAGCCTGGAAACGGAAGGGAGCTGCGATAAAGCCCGAGACGTGAGTGTCATCCCGCTCTGCCAGGCAGAAGAGGGCAGGGCCGTGCTGGGAATTGCCAGAAAAAGCAACTGTGAGGAAGGCAGAAGTCCGAGCGAGGACGAGGACGAGGATGGGAGCCCCTGGGAGGAGCTGGCCAGGCCAAGGTGAGGGCGCACGCGCATTTCCAGGGCAGAGCGCAGCGGGTTAGCGATGCTGAGAGCGAGATCCTGGGCCTGGTGGACTTGGGCGCATCCTATCGCGGGAGGGTGGGGAGGGGATGCACCGGGGGCAGCGCTGAGTCAGGCTCCCCGGCTTCGCTTAGCACTCGGCTGCCGGTGACCGGCACAGCACCGGGTGACTGCCATGGGCGCGTGGGTCACGTTCAGGGATCGCGTGACTCTGGGGCCCATACGCATCACTCGCGTGGTCTGGAAAGAGAAAACCAGTGTCCCTGGCTTCATCTCCATTCCCCCAGCGAAAGCGACCACACACGGGCTCTATGGTCTCCTGTCGATGTCCGGCTCTCTACCAGCTGCCCAGTCCAGCCCACACCCTGCAAAGCCCTCCTTCCTTTGCCCTCTTTCCTGGGAGCCTGAAGGCCGCTGGGGAGGTCTAACCCAGGGTGACTCTGACCCTTCCCCTCAGCCGCACAGCGCAGAGCTCCATGGCTTCACGCCCTCAGTAGGAACTGGGGCGACAGAGCCCCACTGAGCTCAGGTGTTGGCTTTCTGTTCACCCTTGTCTTCTCCTTTCAGTTTCCTTCGTGTTTAGGAGTCTTCACTTTTGCAAGGCAGTATAGTGTCCTGGAAAGGACCCTGGGTCTCAACACTGCATTCACTGCCAACAAATCTAACCTCTAAGATGTTCTGTTGCCTCAGTGTTGAAATGGAAATGTTAATGGTACCTACCAAAAAATGAGACCACAGGGCTGGGGATTTAGCTCAGTGGTTCTGTCGCCTGCCTTGCTAAGCGCGAGGTCCTGAGTTTGATCCCCAGTACCAAAAAACAAAAACAAACAAAAAATGAGACCACAACTCAAACCAAAAAAGGGTCCCTATGCCATTATAGGGTCAAGAAAAATAAATAATTGCTTCTTGGCCTTTTGGCTAAGATCAAGTGTAGCAAGAAAAGCAAATAACTTAATTCATAGGACTCAGAACTGCCTGGGCCCTGACACCACCTAAAGTTTTGGTCACCGCTGTTACTACTGCATTTACTTACGTAATCATTTATTTCCACCACATATCAAGCACTTTTTGTTATAGCCCAGGCACTTTATATCCTTGATATAACCAGCTCAGTGCTGGCCAACTACCATTTGTCCTACCACGTGTGTTTGTACAGTTTGCATCCTAAGCCTGGCTTTTGCATTTTTAAAAAACTGGCAGGGAGGAAAAAAAAAAGAATAGCTCATGGCACATGGAAATTACACTGCCTTCACATTTCAGGGTTCATAACTCAAGTGTGATTCGCAGCAATTCCACACTGGAAGACGTTTACCCCAGCCTTTCCAGCCACAGGACCAGCAAGCTGAGGGCAGGCGTGATGCCTCAGGTCAAGTCCAGAGATGGAGGCTATAATGTGAACCAAGGGAGATGCTGGGCAGCGGGCTCAGCCTCTCGGACTGCTGGGTTAGAAGTCTGACGTCCAGCCTGACCTCAGCCAGTCAGCCCGGGGACAGCGCGCGAGTGCCTGTGAATCCCGACACCCTTGGGCAGTTCCTGTCCTGCCACTGACTAGGCCTGCCATTGACTAGCCTGATTCCATTTCTGTGCCTGCAGACAATGGGGCTTTCTTCATAACGTTTAGGGTAGGCTGAATGAAACTCCCCATGCTGCCTACTCTTGCCCCACTTTCTCTCTCTAGGCCACTATTTTCCATCTGAAGAATGACAGACCTTTTTGCTCCGACACTCTCGCATCACCTTATCCTACGTGTCTTATTTTAGCTCAGCGTCTGGCTCCACACGCTGGAATTCGAGGTTGCACCCTGCTTTCCCTGGAAAAGGTCTCCTCACGTTGGGCTGAAGGCTGGGGGAGGCTGGGCCTGGCAGAGCTGGTAAGGAGCTGAGGAGACAGGGGAGGGGACCCAGTAAAGCTTCCTGGTTACACAGCCGGCTGGGAAGAGGGACCCCAGCCTGCTCACCTGGAGGTGAGATGCGTAGTGGGTTTGTTTCTGAAATATCAGCTCAACGGCATGGTCCTGATTTGAGTTTAATTAAATTGTGATACACGAATCTGAACCACACTGGAGAACTGGGTCCAATGACCTGGTCCGGCCGTACTGGTGGGCTTAGAAGTGTCTGAGTTGCACGCCCTGTGTGGGACAGGACCGGACGGAACGGGGCTGGGCCGGGCTGGGCCTCGGGAGGTGCGAGTGGCTCCAGAGCGCCGGACTTCGGGGCATCTGGCAAAAGCTCACGCGGGTAACTGTGCAAGAGCCATCGGAACCCGCGCTAAGTCACGTGAGCGCTAAGGATAGCGCCCAGTAGGACACAGATCCCACACCCAAGAGCGCTGCCCCGCAGTCAGGAAAGGGCTGTGAACGAACCCGGCACTCAAGCGAACACCATGCACCGAGAGGCATCTGGGGCAACGCAAACTGACTCCCCAAACCGACTCTGAAAAGCGTTAGAAGGGAAAATGGAGAGAAATCACAGGCCCAACAGAGGGAGGTGCGGGTCCAGCGGCGGAGCGCTCACGACTAACCCTTTAGACTTTTTGTTTGTTAAAAAAAAAAAAAAAAAGGAAAACAGAACGTTGTGCAGAAAATAAAGAGCCTTAAATACGGTTACTTACTAAAATATCAAATATCAGTGACGGTTAAGAACACAGGCTCCGGTTGCGAGGCGCCTCCCGGCTCTGCCGCCCACTGTGGGGCCCAACGACGGCTTCACCTCAGCACCTGCTGTCCCTGCCGTCCGCAGAGAAGGACGCTGAGGACCCCCCAGCTCCCAGGTCCCCTCTTTGCGCTCACCGGAGAGGATGAAGAAGATGCCGGAGACAAAGGCCAGGATGGTCCTCTGCGGGCGGATGTGGCCGATATTGCTGATGACAAAGGCGGTGAACACCAGGAACAGACTGACCATGGGGAAGGGCGTGGCCGTGCGCACAGTCTCTGCCGGGCACAGGGAGGCGGAGGTGAGGTCTCTAGTGACCCGCCCACTCCCCGCCCCTCCTGTGGACTCCGCCCCTTGCAACCCCGCCCCTTCCTGTCTGTCCCTCCCACCAGGCCCTGCCCCTTCCCTTGCCCACTCCTGTGGCTTCTTGGAGCCCGCCCCTTCCCGGTCCTGCCCTTTCTCCAGGACCCCTTGTCCCCTGGACCCCTATACCCCTTTCCCCTCACTCAAAATATTCTCCGTATTTTCCGTCACCAAGTTGATCTCTGGTTCTAGGAAGTATTCTGAAGCCACGCAGCGCCCCTTCTCCCGACCTGGTGGGGATGGGAGGGAGGAGGGGGTGTGAGTCCAGAGGTACAGGACAGGTCAGGGTGGGGAGGGGCAGGGCGGAGGGGCGAGGTGCCCTGAGGGTCATGGGTGGGAAAGCAGGTGGTTTGGGATCCTTGGGAGCTGTCCTGGAGACCGTCAGTGGACCCAGGCCCCAAGTGAGGACGGCCAGGACTCCTGGGTCCCCCAAAGCAGATGAGGGCCTGAGGGCCAGGATTCCTACAGGAGTAGGGGCTGGGACCCGGACTTGGATCCAGAGAATAAAGGGTGAGGCGCGGTGGCTTTACAGAAATGTGAACCTCCAGAAGAGAACAGAACCATTTCCTGGATTTCTGGGACTGGGGTTAAGGACTCAGGGGTTCCCCTCCAGACGGGACAGGGGCGCCCCGCACCTGCAAAGAAGCAGACGCGCCAGAGGCCGGCGTGCAGCGCCATCTTGACCTCGGTGGTCTGGTTCTGCGGCAGTACCGTGCCCTCCTCCATGTACAGCCAGTAGTCGGTGCTCACCGCGATGCCCACCAGCAGCAGGCCGCAGGCGCCAAACACGCTGCTCAGCAGGGTCAGGGCGCGGCTGCTGCAGTGACTCATCCTCAGCGGCGGGGGGCGCCCTGCGGGGCCTACAGGGTGGGAAACTGCGGTGGGGACCCCGGAGGGCAATGCCCACTTTGGGCCGTGGAACCCTGGCTAGAGATACCACGTCCAAGACAGAGCCTTCTGCAATCCAACCTCTGGGTCCTCTGACCCTCAGAGATGTGGCATTTGACTCTGGGCCTCAGGGACGGGCCTCCCAGACTTACCCGTGGTGCCATCTGGCTCTGGGCCCAGGTTCCCAGTCCCTGGGGAAGGTTTCCAACCACAGCCCTCAGCCCAGACACACAGATGGTCCGTGTCCGGACCTGGGTCCCAAGTATCATGAAATCCCAGTTCCAATTCTCCCTGACCCAAACCTCCTTCCCCAGCCTGAGAGCCAACTTTACAAAGCAGACCCACAGGAGTCCCCAGCAGTGAGGCCAAGCTGGCGATTGAGATGCTGATATGAAAGCCCGCAGGTTGACTCCAGGCCCCAGGCCCCAACGCTGACTGTGCCTGACCCAAGACACAGCTGTGAGCATGAGGCTCCAAAGAGAGACCTGTCACCTCTACTTGGAGCCAGGGTCCGCATGCCGGGAGCTGGGGAGTTGTGCTTGGACCTTGAGTGCTATACAACTGGACCTGTCCAGAAGCTCTAACACAACCCAACTCCATGCCTTGACGGGTTACATGTGTGTCTAGGAAATGAACTGCCCCCAGAAAGCCCCAAACGTGTCACTAACCAAGGATCCCTAGCCCCACACCCTGGCCTCAGACCTACCCACGGCTGTGAGCAGAGGCTTTTGCGGGCACACTAACAGCCACTTCTAACTCTCAGAACTTCTGCCTCGGGTCCTGTGACTGACCTCGGATTGGTGTTGCAATCTGACATCACAGCCATGATCCAGAACTTTGATTCTAGACCTCTAATTCCGTTCTCCCACCTAAAGGCAAGCCTTGAGACTGCGACTCTGGATCTCGTTTACAGGTTGCCATGTCCTAAATGGGACCCAGACACCTGGAGCCAGGATGGCAACTGGAGACCCAAGAATGTCAAAACCATGAGGGGGGACCCTGAGGGCCAGCACCCCAACCAGGAGTCTCCAGCAATATGAGGCCATCACCCTGAGGACTAGGAGGTCAGTGCTCCCTGAGGACTGCACCCCATCACGGAACCCCCAAATTCCACACCAGAGATTTCAGACCCCAATTTCACATGCTAGGACTTCCAATCACACATGCTCCTTGACAACCAATTTGGGACCTGGACCCCCATTGGACTTCTAAACAAAAAGTCCCCAACTCAACGTGGGGGCTTCTCAAACTACAACTGAAGGCTCCAACCCCCGTATCTGTGGTCCACGTGTCCCAACTTCCTTGAAAGAAGGTTCCTTGTACCACAGAGCCCCATGATGCGGGGAATCATCTTGGGACACCCAGGATAAATCAGTCCAAACCCTCTGGGTCCAGCGACATCCGTCATCTCTACCTATGAAGTTTTCCACCCCAACAGTCAAGACATGAGTCCGCACCACCTTCCTTAACCCGAATCCCCAGGGGTCTGCCCCCCACTCCAATAAAGACCCTGGGGTCTGAGGTCACCCTTCACCTAGAACCCCCAGTCTCCTGAGGGCTTGGGGAGTCTGGGAAAGCAGGGGCAGCCCCTCCTCCATCCCCCACCCTGTGGCTCCGGGACCAGACCACCAGCTGCCTGCTGACTTCAGCTCCAAACCAGCACCCTAAGTGGCCAGCCTCGCTTCCCGGTCCGCCGGGCCTTCGCACCCTCTCCCTCCCCGACCCCTCCCTCCGTCCCAGTTCCTCCTCGCTCTGCCAGGCCGCCAGTTGCCCGTCCTGCAGCCCTGGACCCTTTGGGACCCTCCTCTCGGGCCTGGAAGCTCCTTCCCATCCTGGTCTCCACCTCCCCGGTTTCAGGAGAGCGGACCCTGAGGTTCGGGTCTTCGGAGCCCAAGTCCAAACTCCCTCCAGTCTCTTGGGAGACCGCAACCCCCCTTCCGCGGGACCCCTTTGCAGACTCCAGGAGCGCTCCCCGCGGCCTGGGCCTCCACCCGCACCCGGTGCCACTCGGCATCGGCCAGGCCTCGACCTCCCGGTGCAGCGCTCTGCGACTCTGACCCTGAGAGCTCAGTTTCCCGGCTCCGGACCCTCGGATCCCGTCCTCGGGGATCGGCCAGGCCCCGAGGTCCCTGCGTTCCCCAGACTC